CTTGCTCTACCGCCCCCTTGTCCTGCGCCCGCCCTGCATGGTACACGGTAGGGCAGCGCCGTGGCATCGCTGGGCCACATGCAGGCAGTGCTGGCGTCACGCCCCTCACACTTCCCATCGCTCTACAAAGTCGTGAGCACCATGCAGCGCATGCGCTTCTGAACGTCGCATGCCCACTTCCCCCTGTCCGTGCCTTCCTCTTTGCTGCTGTATGGAATAATTTCTCCCCCTCTTGCACTTCTTCCTCCCCCTCTCTCCTTTCTGTCTTTCTCATTCTCCCTTTACTCCTCTCCTTACCCTCCCTATCCTTCCTAGCGTATGTTCTCTGCCACATGTTTCATTCTCCTCGCTCGCACTGTGTTGCGACGGCAGGTGGAGTGGAGTGTGCGGTCGGGGCATCTGAGGAGCGTTGAGTCGGCGCGTGTCTCAGTGCCACCCACCCTCGTACCAGACGCCGCATGGAAGGGGTGAGCAGTGAACAGACAGGAAGGGTAGAGCAGCACACAGCAGGGGAAAGACAGATGCGTGAGGAAGCATGGGTGCGATATAAGGAGGCATGGTCGAAGGGGTAGGGGAGCATGGGTGAGGCATGGGGAGGCACGGTAAGATGTGTTTTAGACCGTTCTCGACCCCTTGAATGCCTCTGTTCTATTGCCCCTTCTCCTCTCTCTTTTCCATTCCCACTCTCTCATCCATTCCCAATCTCTCATCCACTCTCTTTCTCACCCATTCCTCTCTCACACCCGTTCCTCCACCCGCCCCTGTGCAGGTTTGTGTGGCGCACCCCCCTGGAGAAATCTCAGCCCTACTGGAAGGGATGGTGCGTGCGTGCATGCATGCACACACATACGTGCACACATGTTCGTGCACACGCATGCACACACATGCGTGCATGCTGTTTGTATCGTGCTGCTTGCTGGGCATGCATTGCGTACTGCTCGCAAAATGGGGTGCTTGGGATATGGACATGCATGCTTGGGATGGGCACAATTTGCTAAAACCTTTTCTTGGCAAGGGATTGGTTGGTGAGTGCTGGTTCTGACGAGAAAGCGGAGTGTGGCATGGTTGGATTGGCTGACATGTCTCACCTGCCTTTCTCGTCGCAGTTTCTGCCAGCATCCCCACTTGTGCTTTTTAGCCAGCGCTGCTGTTTGCATCCTGCCTCACATTTGGCTCATCAGTGTGCCCATATGCATGTATGCATTCAACCTTCGCATGTATTCATGTGCATGTTCGCGTGCATGTGTGCATGCGCATGTGTGCATGTGTGCGTATGCATGTGCATGTGTGATGTGCATGTGTGCATGAGCATGTGTGCGTATGCATGTGCATGTGGGATGTGCATGTGTGCACGTGCATGTGTGCGTATGCATGTGCATGTGGGATGCGCATGTGTGCACGTCCATGTGTGCATATGCATGTGCATGTGTGCGTATGCATGTGTGCATGCATGCATGTGCATATGCCCCACAGGTACACGGGTCTGTCAGACCTCTTTCTGCGCTGCCCCGTGCCCAAGCTGCTGCTCCGACAAGTGAGCCTTGCTCTCATGGCATCAGCGCATGGCGTCAGGGGAGTCAGGGGAGTCAAGGGAGTCAAGGGAGTCAAGGGAGTCAAGGGAGTTGGGCAAGACTGAGTTGGCTCTTGCTCCACGGTGTTGGCCGCCCTCTGCATCTATGCCCTGCTCCCCACTCCTGCCTCGCTCCATGCTCCCCACTCCTGCCTCGCTCCCTGCTCCCCACTCTTGCCTCGCTCCCTGCTCCCCACTCCTGCCTCGCTCCCTGCTCCCCACTCCTGCCTCGCTCCCTGCTCCCCTCTCCTGCCTCGCTCCCTGCTCCCCACTCCTGCCTTGCTCCCTGCTCCCTCTCCTGCCTCGCTCCCTGCTCCCCACTCCTGCCTCACTCCCTGCTCCCCACTCCTCCCTCGCTCCCCATTCGCCATTCGTCATTCGCCATTCGTCATTCGTCATTCGTCGTTCGCCATTCGTCATTCGTCGTTCGTCGTTCGCCATTCGCCATTCGTCGTTCGTCGTTCGCCACTCGTCATTCGTCGTTCGTCGTTCGCCACTCGTCATTCGTCGTTCGTCGTTCGCCATTTGCCATTCGTCGTTCGCCATTCGCCATTCATCATTCGCCATTCGTCATTCGTCATTCGTCATTCGCCATTCGTCATTCGTCAGTGGCCATTCGCCATTCGTCATTCGTCATTCGTCATTCGCCATTCGCCATTCCTCATTCGTCATTCGCCATTCGTGATTTGTCATTCGTCATTCGTCATTCGTGATTCGCCATTCGTACGACGACCATGACCGCGTCGTTACCACCGGGACGCACGGATAACCCCGTGACAAAATCCATTGTTACTTGCTGCCAGGCGCCCTCGGGCAGCAATATTGGCTTCCTTTTTGCGCAAGCTTTTCATCACCTGACACGTGGGGCATGATCCCACGTGGTGCTGTACGTCGGTCAACAGCTCCGGCCAATAGTAATACCGCTGCAGTTGCTGTCTCGTTTTTTTCAACCCCGAAATGACCCGAACTAATTCCGTCGTGTGCCTCTTGCAGTAGCAGTTCCCGTAGTAGTGAGTCTGCTGGTACCCAGCTGTGGTTGGTTTCAAATTTTATCTAATAGACTCCTTTAGCCTCTGTTAGTTGCTTCGAGTCACCAGTGGTTGAATATGGGTTGGTGCGGTAGTCCGGTCAGTATCGGATTGGTTTGGGCGAGTAGTATAGCATGTAGTTGGGTTGTGGGGCAGGTGAGGGCGTCGGCGATATTTGCATGCTCCTTTTTTGTACAATACGGTATTGTGAAAGGTGGACTCCATATAGTCTAACCACCGTATCTGTCGCGGGTTGATATTCGGTTGGGCGCAAAGGTGCTGTAGCGAGCGATGGTCTATTCGTACTATCAAGTTCGCTCCTGTCATGTCGCACCTCCACACCTTAAATGCGTGCACGATCGCCAACATTTCGCGGTCGTCTATTGGGTAGTTGCGCTCGGGCGGGTGAGGCTTGCGGGACTCGGACGCGATTAGCTGAAGGCCACTCCCAAAGTCCTGCAACAGTACGGCTCCGACGGCGATGTCGCTTTCGTTAGTGACGAGCTCAAACAAACGGTGAAGATCAGCGATGTGCAATACGGACGGCGAGCACAAAATATTGTTTAGGGCCGAGAAGGCAGCTTTCTCTTTCTCCCCCCAAGTGTACTCAACCCCCTTCCTCAGCAGGTCGGTCAGCCGGGCAATAAGCTTCACCATGTTGGGGACGAACCAACTCACGTAGTTGACAAACTCCATAAAACTTTGCAGCTCGACCAGGTTTGTCGGCGCGTGCCAAGCCTGAATCGTCGCGATCTTCTTCGGGTCTATTTCCACGCTGTTGACCAGAATTACGTGGCCAAAAAGTTCCAGTTTGTCGTGTGAAAACTCACACTTTGAGGCTTTGGTCAATGGGTCGTTCTCAGCTAAAATCTTGAAAACTGCTTCGATTTCCTGTAGGTGCTGTGCTCTGTTGGGGCTGTTAACAGTATGTCATCTAGGTAGCCGATGTCGCACTTATCCAAGAGCAGGTGGAAAGCCTCGTTCATCGTCATCTGGAAAGTGGCGATGGCGTTGGTCAGCCTGCATGGCATGACACTGTATTCGAATTAACTATAACGGGTGCGAAGGGCGGCTTTCGGGCAGTCGGGTGGACCATGCTGCTCAGTTGGTCACCAACGCTGCCCATCCTCCGACCATCGGGAATGAGTTTGCCCTTGGCTGTGACGCCCTAGAGGACAGGCAGTTTGAGCTAGATTTCCTTGCTGCCACTGCTCCTTATTTCTATGCCATGCTGCTAGTCCCAAAGGGTGACCCATACACTCTTAACATCCCGACTCCTCGCACCTACACTAGGGCGATATTGGAACCGGTGGTCTTGCAGTGGATAGCAACAATGGACGTCGAGATTGTTAACGGGAATGAAGTGTTGGCACTGCCCTCGCTTGGGCGACGCCGACGTCCTAGTCGGATGTACGGGAGAAGCAGCCGACCGTACGCAGTGAGGGAGCTGCTCGACGTGCTTCGTTGAGCTGCAGGGGATCGCTGCGGTGTTGCCGTTGACTAGGGGAGCTCGACGGCCTTCTTCTGAGGGGCAGGCCGACGAGGTGGTCGTCGACTTGCACAGGACTGTCGCGGGGCTGGAGTCGTCGACCAGGGGAGCTCGACGGCTGCAGCTGACTGGGCTGGTTGACGGACGGGCCGTCGACCAGGAGCAGCAGCTGACAGTGCTGGTCGACGGAGGGGTTCGTCGACCAGGGTGCTCCTCGACGGGAGATGTGGTCGACGAGAGAGGCGTCGACCAGAGCACAGGGTGGTCGACCAGGTCGACCAGGTAACCTGCTCGGCGAGTTCTGCGGATGCACGCGAACGTCCTCGAGGTCGCGGTGACGAAGGCGACTTCGGGCTGTTATCCCGAATTCGATGTGGCTCATCAGGCGCAGACCAGGGCCGACGGATGCACAACGGTGCAAGTCGAGCCAATCGTATGCGTGCACATGCGGACGTGCGCACTGCTTTTTTCTACGGGTGCAACGCTGGACAGCCGCTCTGCTCCAGCGTTGGCACGTCGTCGACCTGCTGTGTTGGCAGGCCGCGTTTCTGCAGCGCGAGCGCGGCTCCTCTACGCAACGCTGGCAGGCGGTCGACCAGGCTAGCTGCAGAGTTGCTAGGTGCGTGATGTAGTCATTCTTGTCATTGTTATGTTCAATCATTCTGTAATGCAATCTTTGCTAGTGGGAACTCTTGCAAAACTCTCCCGTGATTGTGCATGTGCTAAGGAACTAAGCAAAGCTACGATCACTCCTAGAGTTCGTGCCAACACCCTGTAGTCTAGCTCACGACTATTGTAGAGTGACTCTCCGCATGGTGCGGTGAGCGTGGACGGCCCCGCAGATTACCTTCAGATAAGAGCCGACTTTTGCACCTACTAAGTCGTTCGTAGGCTGACAGCCATTTTAGTCGCCATGGTCGACCCCGTAGTAGAAGCGGGCGTAGCGGACACCTTGGAGGCTCGTTTGGCTGATGCGAGGAGACGCCACGAGGCTGCCGAGTACGGGTCGACCCTCCCTCTGGGGATCATCGAGCTGGGCATCCGTGCGCAGTGGGCGACGGAACACCCGTCACGACCTGCATCTCCTCGACCGGTGCGAAACAAAGGTGGCGTCGACGAGGAGGTCGACGGCGGTGCACGAGTCAGCGACAGCGAGGGCACGAAGGAGAGAGGGGTGATCAAGGTCGACAGTGGCGTCGACGGGAGTCAGGCGCGAGTGCAGCGGTCGACGGCGGCTGCAGGCAGCTCGCGTGCCGACGTCGACGAACGACGTCGCTCTCCTCTACGAAGTGGTGGAGGGCTCTCGGCGACGACGCACGTGACGGCGGGCGGGATCGCACCGGCGTATGGTCACTTCAAGTTCACGCCGAACAAAATTACCGCCTCACCGCTGCAAGGTCGACGGGACCTCATCACCTGGAGGGAGGCGATGGAACCTCAGCTGGAGGTCGCCGGGCTGAAGGGCTTTGCCGATGGCACCGTGCCAATTCCGCCCGAGGACGAGTTTCGTGCTTCTCACCTGCTCACCTTCATGGTCATCTCGAGGTGCTGCTCGTCGGTGGTGCAGATAGCACTCAAGTCGTGTTGAGAGCGACTGGATGCTGGTCACCAGGCGTGGCGCTTCATCCTGTTGATGTACCAGGCGACGGACGACCTGTACATCGGTCTGCTGGAGGAGCAGATGACACACCTTCGGATGGGCGAGCAGGAGTCGGCGACGGACTACTGCAACCGTGCTCAACGACGTCCTACATCACCCACGTCGTCAAGGGCCTGCCGCGCAGCTACAACCTCATGAAGAGGATGATGATAATGCCCGGCACGCGTGAGTCTCTCGACGAGGACTCCCTCACCAGCTACGTCATTCAAGACGAGGCTCTACAGGAGGCAGAGCAGCCCCCGGAGCTCCTTCCGAAGGCGTGTTACGTTACACCGACGAAGCAGAATCGTCAGCAGAGGCAGCGCGGGAAGCCGGGCGGAGGTGGTAGCGGAAGTGGGCGGTCGACGAAGGACGTCGATGAGAAGAGGCCGACGCGGGACAAGGGCCGCTAGGGAGGTGGTCGACGACGGGAGTGCTGGATCTGCCACGACCCCGACCATCTCTCCTACGAGTGCCTCGACCGCGACGACAGCGACGAGGACGACAACAAGAGAGGTCGCAGTCGGTCGACCAGTCGTCGCCCCCGTCGAGATGAGAAGCCGCGCAAGGAGAAGCAGACGTTGAAGAAGACGTCGTCGACGAAGGACGTCGACTCTTCCAGCGGCAAAGGCCGAGGCGACGGGGAAGCGTCGTGCTCGATGGTCGGCGTGGTTGAGCCGACAGTCTCGCTGGCGCCGGAGGCTGGCGAGGACTTCCAAGCGGTGGCGGCAGCTGTGCAGGCAAACCCGATGGCGGTGCTACTTGACAGCGGTTCCCACCACCTGATGGGGACGAAGGCGGTCTTCGTCGACATGGCGCCGAGCGGCAGTGTGAAGCACGTGCGTGGATTCAATGGGGCGTTGCAGCTTGTCGAGGGTCGCAGAACCGTCGCTCTGCAAGGGGAGGCCGGGAAGCGGATCCTTATCCCAGACGTGCTTTACGTTCCGGGAGTATAGCTAGATGAAGGAGAGCGGAGCGCAGCTTCAGGGCGACAGCGACGAGATGCTGCTCATCGCCGTGACCGAGTCCTCTGCACCGACCTTCGCCCTTGCTCGACGCGGTCGCCGTCGACCGAGGTGGTGGCTCTACGGACGATCACCTCAGCGACGAAGTCGACCCCCGGTGGCACGCAAGGCTCGCGCACGTCGGCGTCGACACGATCAAGAGCTCGGCGAAGCATGAAGTTGCTACTGGGCTCGACATCAAGTCGTCGACCGGAGCGGACCCGGCGTGTGTCTCGTGCGTCGGAGGAAAGCTGGCGCGGCGCACCTTCCCCGACAAGGGCTCGGACGCCGAGGAGGCACTGGCTGTCGTGCACATTGACTTGTGCGGGCCATTTCGGGTGGCTGCCAAGGATGGCAGCTTGTACTTCCTGCTGCTGAAGGATCGCCACACTCGGTTCGTGTGGGTGGTGCCGGTCGCTAAGAAGAGCGACGTGCTGCGGGAGTTCGAGAAGTGGCTGGTGCTGGTGGAACGGCAGACGAAGAAGTCGGTGCTGATGCTCCGCTACAACCGGGGAGGGGTGTTCCTCGGGAAGGCGTTCACCAACTTCGTCAACGGGAAGGGCATCGTCCACGACCTGACATGCTCTTACACTCCACAGCAGAACGGAATGGCTGAGCGGGAGATGCGCACGGTCGTCGAGTCCGTGTGGACGATGCTGCTGCACATGGGCGTGCAGCACCACTGGTGGCACCTCGCCCTACGACAAGCTGTCTGGGTGCGCAACTGCTTGGAGCGGTCGACGACGCCGCCGGGGAGAACGCCGTACCAGCTGCTGACCGGGAAGAAGCCCGACCTCACCCTGGCACGGGTGTGGCACTGCATGGTGCAGTTCATGGTTCCCGAGCAGCAGCAAGGTGTGAAGCTGGCGCCGAAGGCTCGCTGGGGGCTTCACCTGGGCGTGTCACCGGAGAGCAAGGGCTGGGAGGTGCTGGACTTGACCGACAACAAGGTGGTAGCGTCGGTAGAGGTGATCTTCTACGAGACGCTGTCGCTGGAGGTGTGGAAGGCGACGTATGGGCCGGCGTCGGGGTGGACGCAGGCGCACCCGCCGACGAACACCTCGACGGCGACGTTCCCACTGCTCGCCGAGGTCGACGAGATTGCTGATGAGGGCGTCGAGGAAGTCCTCCCTCCGCCCCCTGTTCTTGCTCCTCCCACCCCCGTTGCAGATAGGCCTGCGTTGACACCAGTGTCGACCACCGGCGATGAGGGGAGCCTTAAGGCGTCGCCTGTGGCACCGGCCCGTGGCATCGGCGGTGGCCGACGAGACGCCATGCTCGTCGAGGAGGATGTGCAGCCGTCGACGACAGGGAAGCAGCAGAAGTCCAGTCGACAGGGGAGCAGCAGACCGGGCAGTCGACAAGGGAGCTGTCGATAAAGGAGAAGTTGGCAGGAAGGCCGACGAGAGGGGATCAATCCGGTCGATGGGACGAAGCAGCACGTCAACGACGAGGGTGTCGACGACGAAGCGTCTGCAGAGGGGCAGTGGTCGGAGGAAACGAGGAGGAGTGAGGAGCGGCGAAAAAGCGGGGCAAGCGACCGAGGGAGCGGGGGCAGGGACCTGGGGAGGCCAGAGACAAGGAGACGGGAGTGCATGCTATGCAGACGTGGCAGGGAGGGGTGACCCAGACGGTGGTGCCAGAGGAGAGACGGGTGGGTGAGTACCCGACATGTGCAAGACGCAGCTACCTGACCGGACGCAGCTACCTGACCGGACGCAGCTACCTGTGCGGACTTAGTTGTCAGTGTGTACAGGCCAGACCCGTGTCTCCGAGTGAACGTGGCGAGGTGCTCACCTGTCTGTGAGTCCGTACAGATTGCCACAAGCTCACCCCCAGGTGTAGTGGTAGTGACCAACTGGTCCTGGAGGACAACGTTACTCACCAAGTTCGTAGTGAACGAGGGGAGGTGGAGACCTGAGAGGGAGCCAGAAGGGGCTGCCGGCACGTGCAACGACTGGGCCCCCAGATGGGTCAGCCAGGGTGATAGGGACATGTGCAGTGAGCGGTGTGACTGTGGTGCAGTCGCGGAAGAAGCAGCGAGACGCACCGGAGTCAAGCGTGAAAGTGTGCAATGCCTCGGCAAGAGCTGCACCTGTGCTGGCAGGCTCACAGGCACCTAGACTAGCAGTCTCTACACCACCAGGGACGCGTTGCTGGGAAACCCACTCCCGAAGCTGCTGCGGCGAGAGGGTCGCTGGCTGACGGTGCTGCCACTGCTGTTCACCCCCTGAACCTCCGCCTCCACCGACGACACCACCTGTACGAGCAAACGCACAGGTACCTACACTCGGCTCCTCAACCAGCTGCTGCACTTCCCCTACCAACTGACGTCACTGCTGCAGTGGCCGGGTGGTAGGAGAGAGGGAGAAGTAGTGTCTAACCACAGCGTCGTACAAAATCTGGGCCGACGTCACCTGACGAAAGTGGTCCCTCTGGTCGACCGGCAAGTGAGCTCGGACGACAAGCTGCGTGGCGGCATCGCGCTCCGTCCACTGTGTGTAGGCACGGCTGTCCGACCGGTACCGCCACTGCTCGTCCTCGCTAGCGTCAGCAGCAGGCTCAGTGGGAGTCGTGAGGGCCTGAAGGGACCCCGACGTGTGCTCGAGCAGGGAGACGTTATTTATAATGAAATTCCGGTGATACCTGCGCAGGCACACAAGCCAGAACCCTCACTTGAAAGGCCGTCCATCTGCGTCAACCGCTAAGACTAGGAGAAAGGCCGTGACGGGCAGCGGCAGTCAGCAGCAGTGGCGCAAAGGCGGCAGTGGCATGGGCTTTAGCAGCGACAGCAGGGCTGTAGCGACAGCAGTAGGGGCTGTCATGGCGGCAGCAGGGCTGAAGCGGCAGCAGCAGGGTTGTAGGCGGCGCTAGCAGGGGCTGTAGTGGCGACAGTAGGGACAGTAGGGACAGTGGCGGCAGCAGCAGGGTTGAAGCGGCGCTAGCAGGGGCTGTAGAGGCGATAGTAGGGGCTGTAGCGTCAGCAGCAGGGGCTGTAGCGGCGCTAGCAGGGGCTGTAGCGGCAGTTGCAGGGGCTGTGTCAGCAATAGCAGGGCTATAGCGGCAGCAGCGGGGCTGTAGCGGCGCTAGCAGGGGCTGTAGCGGCGACAGTAGGGGCTGTAGCGGCAGCAGCAGGGCTGTAGTGGCGCTAGCAGAGGCTGTAGTGACGACAGCAAGGGCTTTAGCGGCAGCAGCAGGGCTGTAGAGGCACTAGCAGGGCCTGTAGCGGCAGCCGCAAGGCTGTAGCTCAGCAGGGCAGGGCAGGGTGGCGCGCGGTGCACAGCGTGCAGGGCAGCGCGGGGCGTGCTGGCTGTGTGCGGGCAGCGCGCAAAGCAGCGCGGCAGCAGGCAGCACGAGCAGCACGGGCAGCGCGCAGGCAGTAGGAGCGCGCGACGCGCGGGGCAGAGGCAACAACGCGCTGGCAGTACGAGTGCGTGCAGCGGGAGTCGTGGGCAGCGCGCTGGCAGCGTGAGGGTCGCGCGAGGACGGGCAATGTGGGATGCGTGGGCCGCGCGCAGGCAGCGCACGTGCGGCGGGGGCAGCAGGCGAGCAACGCGAGCAGCGCGCGAGCAGCGCGTGGGCAGCGCGAGCGCGAGCAGCGGGCAGCGCACTAGCATCGTGCGGGTCGCGCGAGGGACAGGGCAGGCGCGATTGCGTGGGCAGGGCGGCTCTAGCGAGCGGCTGGGTTGCGATGGTTAGGGGCAGGGCAGAAAAAACGGGCAGGGCAGGGCAGAACTAACTGTGGGCCCGAAAAAAAAAAAACTTTCATAATGGTCCTAAGAACATATCTGCTCTTAATACCATTTTAGAATAGTAGGGTAAGAATGTCGATCAGGTCCAGGGAGGGGGTACAAGGAGAGTGTCGAGATGATTTCTGTACCCTCTAAAGCTAGCCCCAATATAGCCTAGATAAATCCAAACATATATGTTTTGACAGACAGAGGCAGGGCAGCGGGGCAACAGGTCGCGCGATGGAGGCGCGGGGCAGCGGAGGCAGCTGCGCGTCGCACGAGGCAGGGGGGCCGCGATCGAGCGGGGCAGGAGGTCGCGATCGAACGGGGCAGGGCGTCGCGATCGAACGGGGCAGGGCGGCGCTAGCGGGCAGGGCAGAGGGTCGCGATCAGGGCAGCGGGAATAACGCGCGACGGGCAGCAAAAACAAAAATCGGGCAGGCTAGGAACGTCCTAACCGAAGCTCTTAATATCATGTCGGAATTATTGCTAGGAATGGTGATTATGTCAAGGAAGGGGGGGTACAAGCAAAGTGTCGAGAAGGTGTTTGTACCCCTTAAGGCTAACCCTTATACAGCCTAGATAAATGTAGACATGTATGTTTTGACAAGGGGTGCAGGTGGCGCAGGAGCACGGCTCTAGATATCAGCCTTTTTAGGCTGATTCAGCGTAAAATCATGCTTTTTTTTCAACCCTAGGCTGATTTCAAAGTTTTTATGTATGTACCATCGGCTGATTTTTCAGTCTTTTTGTTTGTACCTTGTCTGATTTTTCAACCAATTTTTGTGAGTGTACGCTGATCCCTCTAACCGATAACGGGTAGGAGACCCTATGCTGAATCCGTCCGCACCTTTACCCTTCCCCCCTCGAGCCCAACCTTTACGGCTCATCGATTCGCCCCTCCCCCCAGCCCACCACTACGATTCGCCCGTCCCCCCAGCCCACCACTACGATTCGCCCCTCCCCCCAGCCCACCACTACGATTCGCCCCTCCCCCTAGCCCACCACTACGATTCGCCCCTCCCATAACCCACCACTACGATTCGCCCTCCTCCCCCTAGCCCACCACTACGATTCGCCCCTCCCCATAGCCCACCACTACGATTCGCCCCTCCCCACAGACGGACACGGCGGTTCCCTTGCGGCTCCAGTCGAAAAGCCTCTCGTACACCTTCAGTTCCATCGGGCGGTACCAAGAAGACCTCCCGCGGCCAGTGCATGCGCTTCCGTGCGGAGTGAACTTCCTTGAGAAAGTCAGAGGCGCGCTTCCACTCCGTCAGACACTTTCGGTGGATGCAACTTTCCGCGAGCCAACGCGCGTACCGACACCGGCGACATCAAGACGCGCGAGTCCACATCAATTTTTTCTTGCGCAGTATAAGCCTTACGCTTATGCTGCGAGGGCTTGTGCCTGGGAGAGGGGGGGCGGGCATCACGTTTCTCAGAAGAAGGGTGGGGTGTTTGCGGTTAGTAGGCGGGAAAGAAGGTATCGGAAGTTTGTCGGGAAGGCCGTCGCGCGGCCAGTACTCTACGCCGTCGTCGTCGTCGTCGCCCGGGGCACCCTCAGGATACACATCATCCGCGGTGCCAGCCTCGGTGCGAGTCTCATCGGCGCCGGCGCGCCACTCCTCATCGGCGTCGGCCACATCATCGTCAGCACCCACAGCAGATTCGTCCCACATGCAATCTTCGGGCTGACCCCGATCGAGCTGCCGGGGCCGGGGCCTCTACGTACTCATATGGGGCTTTTGTTGCTGTCAGGTTCCGATAGGTACTCGTCGAACGCAGATGGGAGCAGGAGCGTGTGCACGGGGCCGATTGCCCGTGCCTTCATACACCGGCGGATTCGGAGGAGCAGGAGGGAGCAGGAGGTTCAGGAGGCGCAGGAGGAGCAAGCGGCGCAGGTGGCGCGAGATGCTTTGGTGGCTCTGGTGGCTCTGGTGGGACACGGCTATACCAGCCGTCAGCGGTAACTCCGAACAGCGGGGCCTAGCGGTAGGCTTCTTCGTGAACAAAAAGTGTGGTGCCTGAGAACTCCGCCATGGCTTCCGCAGCACAGGCGGGCGAGAACAAGAAACGGATGCAAAAAACTGCAAGACAGCGTGAAGAAATGACTGTTTGGAGAGGACCCCTTCGGGTTAGCGGCTCGGGGTCCTCGTCAATGAGAGGACGGGTACCCCCCCTGCCTGAACACCGCAGAGGAGGGTTCGCGGCACCGGCCATGCTGCGCTGGCAGGGGAGATTCGACACCCTTGTAGAGGGTTCGGCCGAGATTCTCCTGCCTGGCAACGCATGACGATTGCGATTGGGCCGCACAGCAGGTTTCGAGTCAGCTCTGGCAGGTGTGGGGGCATCGGGACGGTTTTTGTGCGGTGGGAAATCGAAGCGCGGTGGTTTTCGCCTGAATTACATGCACTATCCCACAGTGAACGTTTCACAGTCGTGTTCGCTTTATTGAGGGCTTCACTTTGGTACCTTAAAAACGAATTTCATTTTTTTTTTCCATTATATACGCGCCGGCGCTAATGCCCTACACTCAATTACAATCGCCACCCTTAGAAAATTTTAATTTTATTATAAGCGCATCTGCGCTACTATCCGGTGTAATACGGTAATACGGTAATGAATGACGGGAAACCCCCGCCTGA